CCTCTGGGTTAGTCTAAAGTCTTCATCCGCATGAACAACTTCATCCGCATGAGGTTCTGAGTGAGTTGTTATGATGGTAGGGCCGAGTGTAAACTGATATACCAAGTTCACACAGTCTCTCATCGTCACCCATGTCAACACGCTGAATCGATAGGTTTAAAGGGTTCACACTGGTCACTTGGAGTCAAGATACAGGTGACCAGAGTGAACAATGGAGTCGTGAATCAGGTGACCAGAGTGAGCCCTGGAGTCATGAATCATAGTGAACCCTGGAGTCATGAACCCAAATGAACCTTGGAGTCAAGAACCAGATGATCAGAGTGAACCTGGAGTCATGAACTAGAGCGAACCCTGGTATCATGAACCAGAGTGAACCCTGGAGTCATGAACCACTGCATACCACTGTTGTAATCTGGTTATTTGAGTTACTGTCGACTTCCTGTCAGCTTGCGTCAGTCTGGCCATTCTCCTCAGACTTTTCTCATTATTAACAAGGTGTTTTCGCCCACAAAACTGCCGCTCACTGAATGTTTTGTGTTTTTAACGCCTTTCTCTATAAATTATAAGAGACTGTTGTGTGTGAAAATCTCAGATCAGCAGTTTCTGATATACTCATACCACCACGTCTGGCACCAACAATCACTCCACAGTCAAAGTCACTTCGATCACATTTCTTCTCCATTCTGATGTTTGGTCTCATAAACAACTGAACCACTTGACCATCTCTGCATGCTTTTAGGCATTGATCTGCTGCCACACGAGGTGTGCAGGTGTACCTAATAAATTGGCTACAGAGTGTGTGTGCGTATACATATATAGAATTATTGAGGAAAAAACGTGAGTGCAGCAATGAGGAATCTGTGGAGACAAAGAACGTTATCCATAGAAGCAAAGAAGGAAATGAGAATATAATGGTACTAATTCTCTTATATGGGTGTGAAGCATGGGTGGTGAATGTTGCAACAAGAAGAAGGCTGGAGGCAGTGGAGATTCATGCCTGTAGGCAGTGTGTGGTGTGAATATTATGCAGTGAATCTGTAACTTGGAGACTGGAAGGAGGTGCAGGTTTCCAAAAGTATTATCCAGAGGGGTGAGGAGCAGTTGTTGAGGTGGTTTGGAGATTTAAAGAGGATGGAACAAAACATAATGACTTGGAGAACATATAAATCTGTAGAAGGAAGGCGGGGTAACGGGTTGTCCTAGGAAAGGTTGGACTGAGGGGGTAAAGGAGGTTTTGTGTGCGAGGGACTTGGACTTCCAGCAAGCATGCGTGAACTTGTTAGATAGGAGTGGAGACAAATAGTGTTTATGACTTGACGTGCTGTTGGAATGTGAGCAAAGTAACATGAGGGGATTCAGGAAAACTAGTTAGCTGGATTTGAGTCGTGGAGGTGGGAAGTACTGTGTTTGCGCTCTGAAGGAGGGTTGGATATATGTTGCAGTTTTTTTTAACTTTAGTGTAGGCGCGCCTCTGGCAAGACAGTGATGGAGTGAATGATGGTGAAAGTTTTTCTTCCTTTTCGGGCCACCCTGCCTTGCTGGAAAACAGTCGATATATATATATATATATATATATATATATATATATATATATTTTATATATATATATATATATATATATATATATATATATATATATATATTATATATATATATTAACAAGTCGGCCGTCTCCCACCTAAGCAGGGTGACCCAAAGAAGAAAGAAAATCCCCAAAAAGAAAATGCTTTCATCATCATTCAACACTTTCACCTCACTCACACATAATCACTGTTTTTGCAGAGAATATCCCAAACCCCTCCTTTAGAGTGCAGGCATTGTACTTCCCATTTCCAGGACTCAAGTCCGGCTATATAAAAATAGCCGGTTTCCCTGAATCCCTTCACTAAATATTACCCTGCTCACACTCCAACAGATCGTCAGGTCCCAAATGCCATTCGTCTCCATTCACTCCTATCTAACACGCTCACGCACGCTTGCTGGAAGTCTAAGCCCCTCGCCCACAAAACCTCCTTTACCCTGCCATAGTGAAGAGCTCTGTTCCACAAGGCACAGTGCTCGCCCCATCTTATTCCTCATCCTCATATCAGACATAGACAGAGATATACATCACAGCACCGTATCATCCTTTGCGGATGATACTAGGATCTGCATGAGGCTGTCATCTGCTGAGGACGCGGTTAACCTCCAAGAAGATATAAACAAAGTTTTCCAGTGGGCAACGGTAAACAATATGATGTTCAATGAGGACAAATTCCAACTACTCCGTTATGGAAAACTGGAGGAGATAATAACTAGAACAGAGTATACTACAGACTCTGGCCATACAATAGAGCGGAAAAATAATGTAAGGGACCTGGGAGTAGTAATGTCTGAGGATCTCACTTTCAAGGATCACAACAGTGCCACGATCACAAGTGCAAAGAAAATGATAGGAAGGATAATGAGAACGTTCCAAACGAGAGATGCCAAGCCAATGATGATCCTTTTCAAATCACTTGTTCTCTCTAGGCTGGAATACTGCTGTACATTAACATCTCCATTCAAAGCAGAGAGTGTACAGAGATCCTTTACTGCACGTATAAGTTCTGTGAAGCACCTTAACTACTGGGAACGCTTGGAAGCACTTGATTTGTACTCGTTGGAACGCAGGGGGGAGAGATGTATCATAATCTACACTTGGAAAATCCTGGAAGGAATGGTCCCAAATCTGCACACAGAAATCACTCCCTACTGGGAGTGATTTTGCGATGCAAAATGCCCCCAATTAAAAGTAGGGGGGCCATTGGTACACTAAGGAAAAACACCATAAGTGTCCGGGGCCCAAGACTGTTCAACAGCCTCCCATCAAGCATTAGGGGAATTACCAATAAACCCCTGGCTGCCTTAAAGAGAGAGCTGGACAGATACCTAAAGTCAGTGCCGGATCAGCCGGGCTGTGGCTCGTACGTTGGACTGTGTGCGGCCAGCAGTAACAGCCTAGTTGATCAGGCCCTGATCCATCTGGAGGCCTGGTCATGGACCGGGCCGCGGGGGCGTTGATCCCCGGAATAACCTCCAGGTAACCTCCAGGTAACCCCCTCCCTCCAACCTTTTCGAGGACGACCCCTGCCCTTCCTTCCTTCCCCTACAGATTTATACGCTCTCCATGTCATTCTACTTTGATCCATTCTCTCTAAATGACCAAACCACCTCAACAACCCTTCTTCAGCCCTCTGACTAATACTTTTATTAACTCCACACCTTCTCCTAATTTCCACACTCCGAATTTTCTGCATAATATTTACACCACACATTGCCCTTAGACAGGACATCTACACTGCCTCCAACCGCGTCCACGCTGCTGCATTCACAACCCAAGCTTCACACCCATATAAGAGTGTTGGTACTACTATACTTTCATACATTCCCTTCTTTGCCTCCATAGATAACGTTTTTTGTCTCCACATATACCTCAATGCACCGCTCACCTTTTTTCCCTCATCAATTCTATGATTAACCTCATCCTTCATAAATCCATCCGCCGACACGTCAACTCCCAAGTATCTGAAAACATTCACTTCTTCCATACTCCTCCTCCCCAATTTGATATGCAATTTTTCTTTATCTAAATCATTTGATACCCACATCACCTTACTCTTTTCTATGTTCACTTTCAACTTTCTACCTTTACACACACTCCCAGACTCATCCACTAACCTTTGCAATTTTTCTTTAGAATCTCCCATAAGCACAGTATCATCAGCAAAAAGCAACTGTGTCAGTTCCCATTTTGTATTTGATTCCCCATAATTTAATCCCACCCCTCTCCCGAACACCCTAGCATTTACTTCTTTTACAACCCCATTTATAAATATATTAAACAACCATGGTGACATTACACATCCCTGTCTAAGACCTACTTTTACCGGGAAGTAATCTCCCTCTCTTCTACACACCCTAACCTGAGCCTCACTATCCTCATAAAAACTCTTTACAGCATTTAGTAACTTACCACCTATTCCATATACTTGCAACATCTGCCACATTGCTCCCCTATCCACTCTATCATATGCCTTTTCTAAATCCGTAAATGCAATAAAAACTTCCCTACCTTTATCTAAGTACTGTTCACATATATGCTTCAATGTAAACACTTGATCTACACATCCCCTACCCACTCTGAAACCTCCTTGCTCATCCGCAATCCTACATTCTGTCTTACCTCTAATTCTTTCAATAATAATCCTACCGTACACTTTTCCTGGTATACTCAGTAAACTTATTCCTCTATAATTTTTACAATCTCTTTTGTCCCCCTTCCCTTTATATAAAGGAACTATACATGCTCTCTGCCAATCTTTAGGTACCTTCCCCTCTTTCATACATTTATTAAACGAAAATATCAACCACTCCAACACAATATCTTCCCCTGCTTTTAACATTTCTGTCATGATCCCCTCAGTTCCAGCTGCTTTACCCCCTTTCATTCTACGTAATGCCTCACGCACCTCCCCCACACTCACATCCTGTTCTTCTTCACTCATAAAAGATGATATACCTCCCTGGCCAGTGCATGAAATTACCGCCTCTCTTTCTTCGTCGACATTTAAAAGTTCCTCAAAATATTCTCGCCATCTACCCAATACCTCCCTCTCCCCATCTACTAACTCCGCTACTCTGTTTTTAACTGACAAATCCATACTTTCCCTAGGCTTTCTTAACTTGTTTAACTCACTCCAAATTTTTTTCTTATTTTCATTAAAATTCCTTGACAGTGCCTCTCCCACTCTATCATCTGCTCTCCTTTTGCACTCTCTCACCACTCTCTTCACCTTTCTTTTACTCTCCATATACTATATATATATATATATATATATTATATATATATATATATATATATATATATATATATATATATATATATATATATATGTGTGTGTGTGTGTGTGTGTGTGTGTGTGTGTGTGTGTGTGTGTTGCTTCGACGATGTTTGTGTAGCACGGTGCATTATGTTGCAGCCTGACATGCGCGTGGTGGTCCTGAGTGTGATGTTCCTGATGGCTCTGGTGACGCTCTCCCAGGCAGCATCCATCACAAGCATGTGCATCAGGTGAGTGGGCAGGATGACAGGCAGGAAGACAGGCATCATGGTTGGCAGGTGGGCAAGCTGGTAGGCAGTGCCGATGTCAAGCCAAGTAGGCAGGTTAAGCTGGTGAAAAAGAAAGGACCCCAGGAAACCAAACGTTAAGGACTGCATGTCACAAATCAAGAAAATTATTATCTATATAGCAGGGTATGAACTCTTGGTGTATATACACAGAGTATAAACATCTTTCACTGTACATACCGTGACCTGCGTTGTTTGATTATCTGTTTGGCTGCTTGCGCTAACATTATCATTGAAGACTGAGACACTTATGCAATATATGGGAATCTTTATTAAGGAAACGTTTCGCCACACTTTGGCTTCATCAGTCCAGTACAAAGTAGAAATGTGTAAGGACTGGATGAAGACACTGTGTGGCGAAAAGTTTCCTTAATAAAGATTCCCATATGTTGCATAAGTGTCTCAATCTTCAACTTGTCGGTTTTTGAAACCATTCATCACAACATTATAATTCTTTACCTCCAATTTTAATTTAGCTTATTCAAAAATTAGTGATACATTTATTTCTATAAACTGTCATTTAGGTGTAATGATGTACATTCAGAATCCTGAAGATGGTGAATGATTTCATTACGAAACGTTGACTGTAAATTTCATCCAAATTCTTAAGGAAAAAGCTGGGGTTTCCTGCCGCTTTGAAAGTACTTCAGAACATTAAAATATAACAAACAGTGAATGGTGAATATATTTTCGGTATATCCTGAGACTCTCTTCAGGCATATTAAGACGGCGTCTAGTTAGAGGGAACATACTTGAGCTATGTCTTAGTTTTCTAGTGTGGGTAATTCTAAGAGCCGCTGATATTGTACACTAGCTCGGCAAGGTTATATATACCGAGAGGTGTATACTTCTTAGTGTTTATATACTTGAAAATTGATGTAATCCATTATTTTAGAGACTGAAGTGTTCTTGAATTATGGTGTTCAGGCGACATGCACCCGTAATGATGACACTCGTGTAGTAGATAAGCTTTAAACTAAATAAACCTGCTAACAGGTTTGTTGTGGCTAACCTCGTGTGTTTATCACAGGAACTGCGGCCAGTGCAAGGAGATGTATGGGGACTACTTCCACGGGCAGGCGTGCGCCGAGTCCTGCATCATGACGCAGGGAGTGAGCATCCCTGATTGCAACAACCCTGCAACTTTCAACCGCTTCCTGAAGAGGTTCATCTAGAGACTTCGAAGAAACCACTTCAGGAGCCCCCGGATCAGGGTCAGGTCATCTTTGAGTCTGGGGGCTAGGGACATCTAGAGGGCTCCTGGTCTAAGGGCACCTCGAGCCTCTGGTCCAAGAGCATCTAGAAGACCTGTTCCAAGGGCACCAGTAGCTCATGGTCCAAGAGCATCTAGGGGCCTATGGTCCAAGGGCATCTAGGGGGCCGTGGTCCAAGGGTATCTGTTGGCCCCTGGTCCAAGGACATCTAGGGATCCGTGGCCCAAGGACATCTAGGAGCCCGTGGCCCAAGGGCATCTAGAAACCCTTAGCCCAAGGGCATCTAGAGACCTCTGGCCCAAGGGCATATAAGGACTTTTGGTCCAAATACATCTAGGGGCCCCTGGTTCAAGGACATCTAGGGGCCTCTGATCTAAGGGCATCTAGGGGCCCTTGGTCCAAGAGTACCTAGGGGTTTTTGGTCTAAGGGCGTCTAGGGGCCCCTGGTTCAAGGGCATCTAGGACCCTGGTTCAAATAACTAGGGACCCCTGATCCAAGGGTATCGAGGACTCTGGTTCAAGGGCATTTACGCGCTCCTGTCTCAGGAGCATCCAGGGGCCCTTGAACCAAGAACATATAGAGCCCCTAGTTCAAGGACATTTAGGTCCCCTGGTCAAAAAATAATCTAGAACCCCTGGTTCAAAGGCATCTAGGGCTCCTGGACCAGGGGTATCTAGGGGAGCCCTGGGTAAGGGCAAAAGAGGAGCCACGATGGACGAAAGCCGCCAGAACGCAGCCAAAGTACCTTGGTCCTTCACAAACTGATACCTAAATACAGTCAATTTAACGTTTTAGATCTGATCGAGGTTGCTTCAGGTAATTCTCTGTTCTGCCTGATCTCCAGGTGTTCCTCTGCTCTGCCTGATCTCCAGGTGTTCCTCTGCTCTGCCTGATCTCCAGGTGTTCCTCTGCTCTGCCTGATCTCCAGGTGTTCCTCTGCTCTGCCTGATCTCCAGGTGTTCCTCTGCTCTGCTTATAATTACCTGTTCTCTAAGCATCATATTGTGCTCCCTGAAAGACGTCTACTCGTCAATAAATCCCATCTCAATCATCGATGAACCGAAGATTTTTCTGACTCCTTTGGAGAGGATTAAATTTATATTTTCAAAATTTCACCAGCGATGTTTACCAAGATTTGTTAATCACATAATTAACACTGCTGGTCCTCTCGGGGCTGTACTAAATTCCAGAACGCTCTCTTTCTTTTTACATTTTGGTGTAAATATTAAAGAAGTCGCATTGCCACGATTGGAAAATTGAGCAACTAACCCACGAAATAAATATGAGAAGTGGATGATGTTTCGATCCGTCCTATTCCATAACCTGATAATGGTCCAGACCAGACAAACTTGTTTCAGTTTTCCTTTCCAACCAAACTGTAATTTTCTTTGAGTTCGCGTTATACTGAAGCTTCCAGTGACGCTCTCAGTGTCTGTGTCCGACTCTCACGGGGCTGCCATGGGCAATACCTACAGTTTAAAAAAAATCTGTATACTATATACCAGTGGAAACCAAGTTGCAGGCTAGTATCACCTCGTACGTAGCTTCCAAAATCACTAGAGCTAAAACTGATGCGTCATCCTCGGTCTTCACTGACGATAACACACAGGCTGTGTAACGACATTGCAAAGACATTTGTAATTATTGGGTCCCTTGTCATTCAACCTTGTGTAATAACATGTTAACTTCCGTATTTTCAATATCTTACAAGTTTTACACTCTTAAGAGTTCATTTGCAAGATCTGGGAGCGTTTCTGTAATGTTGTACATCATGCTAAATATTTTCTAAAGTTCCTATGTCGCTTTTTGTTCAATGTATTTCAAGTTCTGCCTAAGATCACACCCAGAGGACCTCCTTCGTGCCCCAGGACAATCCTGTTCAATAAGAAAAGATAAACTTGAAGTTGCTTAACTTTGTATGACTTTATTGTCAATATCACTGACGTAAACAACGATTTCACTTAGCACATAATTGTTATAGGTATATACTGGTGAGAAAATAAAACAGATTTATATTAGGATAATCCAGAAAATTATATCAAGGTGACTTATTTCCATTAGGGCCCCTCAGATGTTGGAAAAAATATATTCTTCGTCGAACCTGTATGGATAAGGATTTTTCAATTGACAGTGTTGTTACAGGGACGGAGAAAGTGTACAACAGTTATAATGTGAACAGCAGGAGTTGTGAACGTGATTGTTTTTTAATGAAAAAAAGGATATGTAGTTATATTTATACTTAGTTATATTTATTAGTTATATTTATACTCAGTTATCTTAATGAACTCTCCGGACTAGTATTGTTTGTAGCGCTCCCAGAGAAATATATTAGCGTTACTCCATGTATGGACATAGAATTCTCAGCAACACGTGATTTTAAGCATGCAAATGACCAGCTATGGAAGAATACCAATAAAATCCTCTTCGTTCTTTCGTCAAATTTGAATATGATTTAAACTGGTCAATAGTGTTTAAAACATCTATTTATGTTCTGCCACAGAGGTTATTTTGCATAAACATATATACGCACGTACATGTATATATATATATATATATATATATATATATATATATATATATATATATATATATATATATATATATATATATATATGTCGGGCCGAATATGTAAAACTGGTCAATTAGCAAGAACTCATTTAAAATTAAGTTCTTTCTAAAATTTTCTCTTACACGTTTAAAGATATATTTTTTTCATTAATGTTGATGCAAAAATTTATAATTTTGCACCAAAAGGAACTTAGAAAACTTACCTAACCTTATTATAACAAGAAGAATTTATTTTAGCCTAACCCAACTAAATATATTTAAGATTTGTTTACAATAATTTAATACTAAACAAACACAGTGAAATATATTTTTTTCGTTAGGTTCAGAATGATTTTGGCGAAATTATTGCATACACAAATTTTCACTTGTCCTATATGGCAAGATGAGCCTTGCTATTTAAGCCAAGATCGCAAATTCTGCCTATTCGGCACGACATATATATATATATATATATATATATATATATATATATATATATATATATATATATATATATATATATATATATATATATATGTATGTATGTATGTATATAATATACACACACCTTGCTCGAAGGCTGGTCACCACACTCAGTGTATGGTAGGGTGGTCAGGTAGCTGTACGTACACACACACACACGTTGCCTGAGTGTGGTGAGGGGAAACAGCTAAATAAAAGGTAAGCTCTGTAAGCTCAATAACCTTTAAGCTCTGTAGCATGTAAATTCTCTAAGCTCAGTAAGCTCTGTAACTTGTAAGATCAGTAACTTCTGTAAACTGTTTACTCTGTATGTACAGTAAACTGTGTACGTTGTACAGAGTGAAAACCAATCCAAGAGTGAACTGGTACTATTGTACAGTCTGAACTTGAATGAGTGACTCAGATATGAGTGTATTCACCAGAACAGAGAGTGAACAGAGGGCCGAATAAGTATTGAACACAACAGAGTGAACGGAGGGTCGTATAAACACTGAACAGAATAGAGAGTGGACAGAGGGTCGTGTAAATATTCAGCATAACAGAGAGAGAACATAAGATAACATAAACATTTAACAGAACACAGAACAGTGAACAAAGGGCCATACTAACAGAACAAAGTACGTTAAACATTTACTGCAACAGACGGGTGTATAAACATTCGTTAGACTATACAAAATAGGATAGAACAAGACCATTGTATAACAAACATTCACTAGGATAGAACAAGACCATTGTATAACAAACATTCACTAGGATAGAACAAGACGTTGTATAAACATTCAATAGAACAGTGGGTTTGTGTGAACATTCATCAGAAGAGAGTGAACAAGGGGCTCTAACATAGTAAACAGAGAGCTCTGAGTGGAGAGGAGGTTTCAACAGAGTGAACAGTTGGCTTTGGTAGAGTGGAACGATTGGGGGGGACCTTAACTGAGTGAACAGGGAACTCTAAAACAGTGAACAGGGGAGCTTTGACAGCTTTAACAAGGATTCTAACAGTGAACAGCGGCTCTAACAGTGAACAGCGGCTCTAACAGAATGAACAGGGGCTCTAACAGAGAATAAGGGGCTCTAACGGTGAACAGGGGCTCTAACAAACCGTCGTAATAAATAATGGAAACTGACACTGTATTTGTCTTATTTCACAACCTTTGGTTAACTAATATCCTTTTCAGTGTCTACGATGAAGTACCTTTTGTCGTCTCTTCTGTGTGCGCCCAGTGACACAGTCGTATCCTTTATTTACGAGATTTCACCTTTTATTGACAAAATAAGTTCCAGAGGACTATACTCAACAGGAATTTGAATGCCATTAAACCTTCAGAATGCAAATAAAAAAAATGGTGAGTGGATGTGACATCCACTGAATACGTTACATTTTATTCGACGTTCGTCACACAACTATTGGCGTACCCTCTCGACCAGCTAACTGGCAATTCAGAGTGTAGCAGTTCTGGGGCCCCCACTACTGCATTTATTGTCCAGTTCAACCCACCAATAAGGTGAGAGCCAGTTTCCCCAGCCAAGGAGACGTCGCTCCTGTCTGCCTGGCTGGAATGGCAGACTCTCACTTTGAATGGCACTAGGATGTCTCATCATGATACTCCTAACTTAATATCTTGACCTTATAAATAGTGTATATAAGTGATGAAGGAATAACTGGTAAAGAAGTCTATCCCTGCTGTGTTTGCCTTGCCCTTGTCTTGCCCTGTTGATCATTATATTGTTGACTTTATTTATGACCAGGTCCTACACTTGCTGCCTGTGTCCGTAACAGTGGGTTAAAGTTTTTGAGTTTACATACATATTGGATTTGGAACTTTCGTGTGTACTGGAGACAGAGGAGTGACTTGTGAATGCGAATGACTAGGACATATAAATGTATAATCTACGACGATTGCAGGTCTTCAGGAGCCTTTGTTGCTCGTAAACATGTATTGCAATGATTTTATTTTGTGTGTAACTGACAGTGTCCTGGTTCATATATACCTGTAGTGAGTCTGTGCTATAGGCTCCTCACACTTGTCAGAATGTGCTGCTGAAGCATGAGTTTCATTGGGCCAGGTAGTCCTTTGTGATTCCTCGACCCTCTTCATAGCTTTATCATACGAGAGCACTTACTTCCTTCTCATTTTGGAACCGGGGACAGACCCATTCATTATTTTGACTGGCGACTTGGCAGTTTAGACAATGTTTGGCCATAAAAGTGAATAAATCATTGTCGTATTCATTACTCGCACACTTTCCACGGAGATTATTAGCAGTGTAAGGCCATGACCATAGCTTTGGCATCGTAAACATTATAAGAGGATTAGGAAAGAAAACTTTAATCTTAACATTGAGGCATCTATCCAGTGTAAATGGATTTAGGGAAGGTTGCTTTACAGAAGTCTAGGCGAACTAAAGGAATCCTCTTTCGTACACCTTCAACAAACTCAGTCATAAAAGCTACACCAGTGACTTTTTGATCCATAAGTTCATGTATACTGTTATCATCTTCCATGTCTGCGGTCGATGGGTCCTCTGTAAAAATTCATTATGGCGGGAAGTCTTTTCATCATATCAATGAAACTTCTTTAGTTTCAGCAAGTGTTTTGAACCAGACTGAATACGAGAGTACCGCGTCCCTCTCACAATTAGAGGGTTGAGGATCAAGCCTTCACCACTCCCTCGCTGAATGACCCACACGGGTATACCGCACCACATAAAAAAAAATAAATAAAGTGCTTGGCTTGAGAAGCAGCCTTAACAATTACCAGAGAGACCAGTACCACTGGTGTTCTTGGCAGGGACTGAACGAGGATCGTTTTACAGATTATTATATTCATGAGGGGAGCGCTAAATTCTCAAGGTTCGTTCATACAGCACTTAGAGAAATGGGAGACAAAAAGGTTCGATCCAAGGAAAGGAAGATCAAATTCCTTGGATCAAGAGTCCCTCACCGATATTAAGACCCTCCCTTTATGACTAGCCTCACAGAATAAATCGGGCACATTAAATAAGGTCGAATATTGCATAAAGGCCGGGTGGGTCTTCCATTCTCTTTTACAGAAAGAGTAGAAGACCCAGCGGTCTTCCTCTCTCCTATGGAGAGTAAGTAAGTTTATTCAGGTATACACAAATACAGTTACATAGATTATCATACATAGCAGTATATTTGTATTATTATTATTATTATAATCAAGGGGAAGCACTAAATCCGTATGATTATATAGCGCCTGTGGGGGGATGTGGTAGGTATTCAGGTTTAATTCAGGGAACTGGAGCACATATCTAATTCCCTAGATCAAGGAACCTTCCCTGAGGGAAGCATATTTGTAAAGAATCTAGGATAACCCAAAAAAGTCAGACAGAGTGACGACAAGTGGACGACAAGGAGTTAATTCCTTGGGCCATGGAACCCCCTACCCACAGGTGTTGCTCCTTGGAGCCCTCAAAATAAAAATCACCAAAGATTAAGTTGCCTTGGAGAGGAGACTTGCTATCGCAAAATGTCAGGACCGATTGGAGTGATCTCTCCCAAACAAATTCCTCGCAGCGCAACCTAATATGTTTGGACAACTGAAGAAAGCCTAGAGAACAAATGAATTTGTCAGTTAAAAATAGGAGAGGAGAGTTATTAAATGGAGAGTTAGAGGTATTGGGAAGATGGAGGGAATATTTTGAGGAATTGTTAAATGTTGATGAAGATAGGGAAGCTGTGATTTCGTGTATAGGACAAGGAGGAATAACATCTTGTAGGAGTGAGGAAGAGCCAGTTGTGAGTGTGGGGGAAGTTCGTGAGGCAGTAGGTAAAATGAAAGGGGGTAAGGCAGCTGGGATTGATGGGATAAAGATAGAAATGTTAAAAGCAGGTGGGGATATAGTTTTGGAGTGGTTGGTGCAATTATTTAATAAATGTATGGGAGAGGGTAAGGTACCTAGGGATTGGCAGAGAGCATGCATAGTTCCTTTGTATAAAGGCAAAGGGGATACAAGAGAGTGCAAAAATTATAGGGGGATAAGTCTGCTGAGTATACCTGGTAAAGTGTATGGTAGAGTTATTATTGAAAGAATTAAGAGTAAGACGGAGAATAGGATAGCAGATGAACAAGGAGGCTGGTAAAGTGTATGGTAGAGTTATTATTGAAAGAATTAAGAGTAAGACGGAGAATAGGATAGCAGATGAACAAGGAGGCTTTAGGAAAGGTAGGGGGTGTGTGGACCAGGTGTTTACAGTGAAACATATAAGTGAACAGTATTTAGATAAGGCTAAAGAGGTCTTTGTGGCATTTATGGATTTGGAAAAGGCGTATGACAGGGTGGATACGGGGGCAATGTGGCAGATGTTGCAAGTGTATGGTGTAGGAGATAGGTTACTGAAAGCAGTGAAGAGTTTTTACGAGGATAGTGAGGCTCAAGTTAGAGTATGTAGGAAAGAGGGAAATTATTTCCCAGTAAAAGTAGGCCTTAGACAAGGATGTGTGATGTCACCGTGGTTGTTTAATATATTTATAGATGGGGTTGTAAGAGAAGTAAATGCG